ATTCAATACTTCATTTAAGGTAAGAATAAATCCAGCTATATGAATTGCAGAAAAACATTATTCTCATCACATTGTTATTCCTGATTTACTAAGTTAGAAAAACAAGCCACCTACACAAGAATTGCCACTAAGCCCTACCTTTTCATTACAACTATCATTAGCCACATATTCACCATTTGGCAAATTGATGAAATATATACAGCAATAAATGTAGACTATGTAAAACAACACATGTAGAATTTCCCAAATAAAATTAATGAATAAATATAATGTGTCATGTTAAATGACAGGACATTAAAATGAGTAGATAAGGGAGAAATAGCTTTTAGTGCTTTTAATATGAGTAATCATACCAATGCTAAAAAATATAATTTTCAAATGAAGCTAGAAATATCCCTTTGACTGAGGTGCTAATTTAAAACTCTATATGAGATGTTAACAGTTCATGGTTCTGAGTTGATGCCAACTTCCTTAAGTTGCATAATCATAGGCTAAAATCAGGAAACAGTAGATGAGCAAATACACAACTGTTAACTCAAAAATTCTGGAATAGCTCAAACAATTGCTTTCATGTTTATGTTTACAGAATTCTTTAAGTAATTGTAGGGAGGTATGAGAGTAGATATTTGGAGTACAATTATGAAAGAAATTTCTGGGTGTGGTTTCACACACCTTTAATCCCATCACTCAGGAGGCAGAGGCAGGTGGATCTCTGTGAGTTCAAGGCCAGCCTGGTCTACATAGTTCCAGGACAGCTGGGGCTACTATGAGACTCTGTCTCAAAAAAGACCAAGAAAAAAAGAAATTTAATAATTTAAGTAAATAAATGAAGGGTTTAATTAACAAAGGGAGAAATGGTAAAGACAAAAATGTGTAAGACGGTGATGCTGTGCTGTATTATGGAATCTCATAAGCAGTTATTAGCAAGAGAGAGACATGTCAGTTGCCCTTTGGTATCATTATGAAAGTACTTCAAAGAAGGGCAAGGTCAATCAGTTAAACATATTCCATTAGTTATTGTTATGGGAAAAAATGTAGAATTTGACAGAGTTCTTTAGTAGGCCATAATATGACTTTATTCATTCATTAATTTAGTTATTCCATAAACATTCATTATTCAAATATTGTTGGCAAATTCTATTCCATGTATGTCAGAGTTGTAGAAATTATAGGTATTGACATTGAGAAAAATAATGTGTTATTAAATTTACATCACAAAGCATGCTTAATTATGATTATATATTTACTAATCTTAGACACTATTTTTTAAGTAATATTTTTCTCAGGGCTGAAATCACATCCTTGTTCCTAAAGGTGTATATCATAGGATTGAACATAGGGGTCACAATGGTATAGAACAGAGAGAGCAGTTTGTCGGTACCTGGAGAATGGGTATATTTGGGACGAAAGTAGGTAATAGCAGCAGATCCATAAAACAAAATCACCACCAGTAGGTGGGAAGAACACGTAGAGAAGGCTTTGCCCCGTCCTTTGGCTGTTGGCAACCTCACGATGGTGGCAATGATTCTGCTGTAAGAAGTAAGCACCAGTACGAATGGGACAGCACCAACCACCATAACAATCACATAGACAGACAGCTCATGCACTGATGTGTCCCCACAAGCCAGGTTGAGAATGGGAGGTACATCACAGAAGAAGTGGTCTATTCTATTAGAATTGCAGAAGTCCAGAGAAAATATCTGAAAGGTTTGTCCAATCTGGACTGGAATGCCACCAAGCCAGGAGCCTGTTACCAGATGAGTGCACTTTGTTGGGTTCATGACCACAGGGTAGAGTAGAGGGTTGCAAATGGCAACATAGCGGTCATAGGACATCACAGCCAGGAGTAAAGATTCAGTAGTTGCCAACATAAGGAAGAAGCACATTTGGACCCCACAGGCCATTATAGAAATGTGTCTATCCTGAGTCCAAATGTTAAACAGAATCCTAGGGACAGTGACTGTTACATAGCAGATTTCAAGAAAAGAAAAATTTGCCAAGAAGAAGTACATGGGTTTCTGTAACGCAGAGTCCATCTTAGTTATTATAATTATGAGACAATTTCCAATCAGTATAATTAAGTAAATGATAGAGAATACACCAGACAGGAGCCCTTGGAGTTTGGGAAGGTCAGAGAATCCCAGCAGGACAAACTGCATCACCTTGGAAACATTGCCTTCTGTCTTGATTTCTTCATGCTTTATCTGTATTGAGTGTTAAATCAGAAGTAAATAACATTCATGAAGTTGGCATTTTTTGTTGTATGTATAATCCAAGAACAGCATACAAAATCATCATTGCTCTTTAAAACCAGAAAAAGTGTCACTTCCACTGAACTCAAATAATAATTAAATGTAATTTTCTTTATTAGTGAATATCTATATACAATGTTATCTTTAATCATTCTGAGATATAGTTTTTGATGATACATGAAATTAAATTCTATAATTTCTTTCAGCATCAAAATATAATTTTATGATAAATGTACTATTGGTTTCTCTATTACTGACCTTATATTCAAACTTATCCCTATGATCATTAATTCAATATTTATTCTATTTTCAAATAAAACTTTGTATGCCTTCTTTAAGTTTAAAAAATGAATATTATTTTTTCTCTGCAGTTACTACGATCATTCCATTTTTTCTAGTTTTGATTTGCTGTGGATCGAGGTAGTATCATTACTAAAAATTAAGTCATCAGATTACATGAAGCATTAGTTAATTGAAAATTCTGTATTCATTTCAGTGTTTGATGTATGCAGTCAACAATCATAAATTTTGTTCAGATTTTAAACTAGGTAATAAAGATTTTCTGAGTTGATTAGGTTTTCTTTAGGAAATTTCAGTACAGGATTCAAAGAAGAATGCACATGAAGTATTTATTTCACAACAGGTTATTTTAGCACATCTATCTGTGGATATCTTAAATCAACCACCTCTTCATTAATTTTGGATTTCTGATGACAACTTTTTCCTTTCAATTTTTTCCATAGTTTTTTTATGTGTGCTACATGTAAAAAACGTGTTCATGTTGTTTGTTTTCATTTACTATTTTATATCTAAAATGAGATATTTTTTAATAGTCAATGCACTTTTTGTATAGTCACTGCATTTTGTTTGCATCACAAGCATATTGTTGAAGAAACTTCATTCATTAAGTTACTGGACAAAATACAAGTATATCAAAATGCCTACTTTATATAACTAGGCCCCTAATTATAGTCAGCAATGTTTCTAGCTGAATTTCAGACTGATTCCATTTACATATTGAGCTTGTCTTACACATGCATCTGTGTGCATGTTCAGTAGGTATTTAGGAGTTTAGGATTTCAATGATTATTTTTCCATTACTCATGTATAAAAAGCATGTAATTATATTTGGTATAGTCATGTTTATTCA